TTGACATGGGACATCTGCAGCATCAGAGGCAAACGGATTTTGAAACAATCTAATTTCCTGAGCACTGGCATCCAAATCAGCAAATCGCTTCCGAAATTGTTCTTTCAAATCTGAAATGACTAAATTTGCAAACGAGGAAGGAATTTCAGCTTCACCCAATTTATGCAACTCTACACAGTATAGCATATGAACAACGTTACAATTTTTCACTTGGCTTTCCAGAAGTATCAACTCTGCTCTGAATGCCTTGATAAGTGCAAATAAATCACAGACTAAATTATTTTCACCCTGCAACTTTAAATTCAAATTGTTCATATGGTTCACCAGATCAGCAAAAAATGCTAATTTCCAAAGCCACTCGGTATCTGATAAAAGTGGTTCGTGATGGGGTTTTCTCGCTAAGAAATATATCAATTTCATTCCTGAGCTGAAAGAAGCGCGAAAGAACCTTTCCACAGCTAAACCATCGAACTGCAGTATAATATGTCAGGTCAATAAGCTCGGAATCACATTCCTCGAGAAAAGGCCGAAACTCGCGATGGTTAAATGCATGACAGTTCATTGGCGCATTTCTGCACAATTGTTTCGCGGGCCGGATAAAATCATATCGTGGGCCGTAGATTGGATATCCTTGCTCTAAACCATACGCCAGTGCCTTACCAAAGGACCGCCATGGTTTTGACAACGATTCGCCTTCGTCTTCCACATATCCTACAGCTTCGTTTCTACCCTTACAAAATTCCTCTTTACTACTTGCTTCGTTTCAAAGTCATTTTACGACTGACGGTTGGCCAGCCAGTTTATCTTAATTTAGAGCCCATTCCGAGGAAGACTAAAGAAAATAAATCTCGGTGGCGCTGGTGGTCTAGGGGTGAGACATCAGCCTAGTGTTCAGAAGGTCCCTGGTTCAAAACCGGTAGGATTTTTCGAAAAAGAAATGAAGAGAAGAAATTGGTGAAAACCCAACAGCAGAGTAAGAGGTGAAGAGGGAGACGGTAAGGGAGGAGGCGGGGGGAGGGAAGAGTTTTCGGTGGTCGAGTTTCACAAAACGGCCATAATCACCAGTAAGAGCCGTTACCTAGATCGCATAATCCTGGAGGCCGTTGAGATCGAGCTCCATCCGAACAACATGAGCAAGGAAACAGGGTTAAGTCTCAGCAAGTCATGGAAGCCACTCATCTCTTGCCTCAAGAGAAATACAACAAGCCACTCCAGTTCTTCGCCATGTCATTGACGTCAGTAGCCTGTCCCCAACCAACTAGTTCTTCTTGCCTACCGCACTTCCTAGTGCTATTGACCTCAAGTTCCTGGATTTACTGGCCGTCCCCCCCCTACTTAGCACACAATATGGTCTTTATCGCTCTCAACATCTCGACAGACGTGAAACATCCTTTCCCTCAAGAGAATCCAACTAGCCACACCAGTTCTTCGTCATGTCATTGACGTCAATAGCCTGTCCTCAACCTACCGGTTCTTCTTGACTACCGCACTTCCTAGTGCTATTGACCTCAAGTTTCCTGGACTCACTGGCCGTCCCCCCCCCCTTAGTCACACACCATATATGGTCTTAATCGCTCCCCACTGCTCCCATTGGTCCGTTCTCCCTAACCAACCCCCTTGCCTACTTCGTATATAAGCAGCGCCTTTCACATACTATCACCACAGCTACTGCTCTCCGCATTCCAGCCATTCACTGCTCTGAAGATGGAGGCGCTACGTTCCTCCGAAACGTCGGCCAACACGAAGAATACACGGTGCCTAAACCCAGAAGACGACTCTCTTCATTGTCATCGCCGTGAAAACCTCAAAACTTACATCTCAACATATTTTATAACTTGTAAGACTACAGATAGAAGTACATTGGAGAGAGAGGACAACAGAGCTTGAGGCTTCCCACTTTGTGCCTACTCTTGTGTTCCTTTCAAGCTCCTTCTGACTCATGTCAGCCCAAGTGCTTGTCACTAGTGGAGGTTATCATTGCCAACATTCCTAAGACCAGAGTGGCTAGACCACTGGATATATAAATGTACTCTGGGAGGGAAAATTATGACTGTGTGTGTGTGTGTGTGGCTTCAGCATAAACAAGTATGTATATGTGGGACAAAGATCACTGCTCTATTCGCATCTAGGAGGAATGCTTGTTGTCTGAGGCCATAGTCTTAATGTTCTGGCTCACGAAACTCTACATGAAGCCAGCTGCCAGTAAGATGACATCTGCAGTCAAAGGTAGTCCTTTATGATACTAGAGTTTACTTACATTTGTAATTCCACAGGGTATAACAATTCATAATCTTTGGCATAAATAAAAAATATTACATTTACATTATATAAGCATATTTACAGTTTAACAATGGAAATTACTATAATATTAATTCTATTACAATAACAAAATTAGATGGCTATAATTTTAGTGTTGTAGTTATACACATCAGAAACATGTATACATTTACTCTGGTTTTATCATTGTGTTGTAGTTATAATGGTGCTGATTCACCTCTGCCTTGATCCTTGAAGTTTTAATGTAGTAATCTTTATTTCATTCTTCCTGATATTCTTAGTTATCAACCATAGTTTCATCACATGCATTCTGTTTATACACATATGCACACACTCATACATAACATACATATACACAGGCCAGCAACAGAAGCAACTGCCAACCATTATCAATCAACTCTTCATATGTTTACATGTTTTCACCAGAGAAAATTAATGGAGGATGAGAAGGGCGCTAGCAGCATATAACGGACTGCATTGACACCATGGAAAGAAGCCCCATGGATGGTGGAGATAATGGCAGTACTTGAGGTTCCCCTCTCTGCCTACTGCTGTATTCCCATCCAGCACCCTTTGCCTATGTCAACCAGTCCATAGCGCTTGTAGCTAGGAAAGGTCATCACTACCAACATTTGTGAGAACAGAACGGCTTCAAGAATTGAAAGAAACAAGTACTGTGGAGGGGGAGGTATAAGGGTCCATCCAGGACACTTGATTCTGTGGCCTCAGTATATATGAAACAGCAACTGCTGTATCCACTTTTATTGAAGACTGTTCATACAAAGCTATGTATGAGACTGGAGGCTGAATACTTCAGTTCACAAAGCCCTGCTACATGACTGGAGGGGAATATAAGGAAGTGCAGCAGCTGGTAGGAGGTGTGGAGGGGGACTGCAGCATATATGGCTATATTACAAACAGAAAAACAGTTCAGTGGAATAACTCATTTGAAATTAAATTTCTCTCAGTACACAGCTGCACCAAATATATAAATAAAATCTCTATGAGCATTGCAACTATGCAAAACAATGTATTAAAAAATAATCCACAACTTTGGGATCATTTGGTATCACAAAGCACTTGGTAGATTCAAATACTGTCAATAGATACTTCTTTTGGCTTGTTTTGGACTTAATCCATCGTCTGGTATGTAAAAGACAAAAGACAACGATGTTTCGGAGACTGGATATGTCTCCGTCTTCAGGTGGGTAAGGAAGGATAAACCTACTCAGTTGGGCCCATTAGAAAGAGCTAGTCTCAATCACTGGTCCAGTGGTAGTTCTTAACATTTCGGAATTGAAGAGACAACTGTATGATCAGATCTGGTGAGAACATTATTCACGCATTCTCCTTAATAAGTAAGTAGAGGTTTCTCAATCCAAGCCTTTTTCTGTTAATAACAAGACCTCAAAGTGTGATAGAAACCTTGATTTCTGAACCTGCAGTGTTGAAGTGTGCAGGTCATAATAGTAGCAACATAAATAAATAATTTTCTTACTGAAACAACAGTAAATACTACAGGAAACAAGATGTGTGAATTGTTTGAAATGATGTGATGTGCCTGATGCCTTAATATTTTGTGTTCAGAATGGCCCTCCCTTTTTCTTCATGTAGTTAAATAACAAAACAATTAGACACAAGCCATATTTAAGGGCTCCACAAGGATAAAATTACTAAGAGCTGAGAACCTTCTCACAATTCTGTGGGGTACTAAAAACTTCAGAATGTTTGTTACAGCAGTACAAATTAACTAACACCATGGTGTATGTTTTCTCTTGCAAAGTTGATACTCAGCAAGTCAAATTTCCTGTTCTTAAGGAATACTATCTTAAGCCTGAATCAAATAATTTCAACATCTTCCTCTGACCTTAAAATCTTCACAACTTCTTGAAGTCAAGCTTCCTGACCCAACTTGATTCTCAGCCAGTCAAGAAAACTCTGACTTCAAGGAACCCTGTCTTCAGACAGGATCACAGAATGTTAGCAGACTTCTTCATTTAACTTTCTCAGCTGTCCCAATATCAAATCTTATACTTAACTTAGCTATAGGTTTTTGTTTTCCATTAAAATAAAATAACATTTTCGCACATTTCTTTACTTCAACACAGCAGAAAATTGAGAGTTCAACCATATACGGTACACAAACTCCTAGTATAGACTCTCAGGAAACAAGGCTACCACTTCCACTTCTTGCGTGGTGCTACAGGTTATATGTGGTTAGTTGTTGCTGCTGGGACATCACTTCATACAGACACAGCATTAACCAGTCACAATAACAGGTAATACCAACTGATCTGAAGTCAATCCAGGAAACTGGGAACACTCTTGCTCTACCTTGAGTAGTTGTTGCTTTCACACAAATCTGTTCTTACTTTCTTGTGTGAAGTGAAGTTTAAGTGTGCCAGTCAAGCTTATCATACTTCACAAATTGTGCTTCAGTTCTACAGTAACAGCAACAATGTGATGGAGAACAATGACTCCTATGATCTGAGTTGCTCCTGAGGAGACATAAGTCGCAGTGCTAGCAGAACCAGTGACAGGGTCAGCATGTATCTTATCTGTAGTGAATGAGCTTTCTTTTGTGTAGTCGCTAAATCCTGCGGCATTCCGACTAGCAACACGCATGATGTAATGTGTGTTTTGTCTGAGGCCTGAGATGCTGTATGGTGATTCACCTGTGGAAAAAAGTATTACATTACTGAATATTGCAGGGTTCTGCCAATGATGTATTTACTTTGTAGTACTGGGTTTTTGGGTTCTGTCTGTTCTCTAGTTTTTTATATTGTCTTCTGTTCACAGTACTAAATAATGGACAAGGTTCAGACACCTGGTAACACGAGGTGAATTAAAATAGTTTTTCCTGCCCATAAGATGTTTGCATCATTACAGTCATGAGGACTTGGTTTATTAACTAGTGAGAAAGTTATGGTTCTTTTATATTCTTTGTATAAGTCCATAACAAATATATATTCATAAGGATATCTGTTCATCTAACAGTTCATATGTTTTTTATACATGAAGCTATTGAATTCTTCTATGAAAATTGGTACTGTACAAGCAGTCCCCACTATGCAGGTTTTCATTAACCGAATCTGCACTTTCTTGGTCATGACACTGAAGAAATACAGGCAAAAATTTCCTACAATTACACAGTTTCCATGGCAATGTACTACTCCAAATCATCCCCCCACATACCTCCAATGCATGCCAAACTCCTTTCCCAATTATGCTCACTCAAGTGACACAGCCTTTTTGTAATTGAAAAGAAAACTGCAGTTTTACTTGGAGTTAAGCATTTTATTTTTTATTTTGCATATTATTATTGTACTCATGTCAACAAATCTTGACAAGAATTGGCAAGACAGCTCAGGTTCATAAAAGAAAGCATACTACCTTTGTAATAGAAGCTAAAAGAGATATTATTAAGGGTAAGAAAAGTTGTCTGTCCATCCCTCCACCTGTCTGTCTGGTCCAGTGTGTCCATCTGCTATGGTCCATTCCGATTTGTCTGTTACAGTCGTTGTCCATCCATCTTTTGGATATGGAAGAAGTGCATATTTTGAAGTAAAAACAGGTAAATATCTTGAAGAATATAATGATATTAACTGGCAGGAATGCAAGTTCATGTCACCCTATTCTTGTCTGCATGCACAAAGCAGCAAAGAGTAAGCAAAGCTGTCCGTCCATTCATCCATTAATCCATCTATTCTGGCCATCCGTCAGGTCCAGTGTGTCCAGTCCGGTCTTGTCTTTCCGGTTTTGTCTATCCGGTCCAGTCCGTCTGTCTGTCCGGTCCTTCTGTCCAGTCTGTCCGCTTTTTTGGTGTGGAAGAAATCCTGAAAATATTTTGAAGTAGAAACAGATAAAATTCTTGAAGATTATATTCATAATCTCAGGCAGAAATACAAGTTTATGCCATTCTATTCTTGTCTGCATGCTCTGCTTGCACATAGCAGCTGAATTATGTTCAGCATTTCCTGTTTTGGTGACATAAAAGAGCTTGTGGTAACTTGGAAAGTCATGCACTCCTTCCTCCCCTCACGCCAGTGCTACATTGCGACTGTGCTTGCTCCCAGAAGCAGTCAACATAAGCCAACTAAAATGGCTACAGGCCCATGATTTGGTGGACAGAAGTGGCAGAGAATGTATTATCTGACTCTTACCTCTGCCAATATAGTGTTCAGATGAAAGGTATCGAAAATAAAAAAAAATGATATCTTGGAAACTAATTGTCATACACGTATCCAGTTCATATCATCAGAAAGGAAAACTCTGAAAGTTTTTTTTTTCATACCTGGCTTATGCGGATACCCCGACACATTTTTGCCACCATCTTAGGAATCACCTGGACAGAGAGATGGCTGGGATATGAATTGGCAGAGATGGACCACTCTCTTGGCCTCCTAGTACACCAGATTTAATCCCAGTGGATTTTTTCTTGTGGGGTTATGTGAAGAACATTGTCTACCAGGTTAAGATCAATGATGTTCAACACCTGAAAGCTCGCGTAAGGGAAGCTGTGGCTATGGTAACACCAAACATGCTTCAAGCCTGGATATTTGTCGTGCCACCAAGGGAGCCCACATTAAAATTTATTGAGAAAGTTATATAAACAGAAAAAACTTTGATATAGCTTCCCCTTGTAACAGTGTAACCCATTAATGTGTATAATAATTTTTTTCTGATATATAATGATTTTATTTTGGGTAACTTTCATCTGGACACTCTGTATATGGTGTACCACTGACCCATAAACCTAACATTTTTCTTTCCTTCTTTAAAGCATAATCTGGGCTTTCAATACTGTGCCACTGTAGTCATCACTCTTCTCACAAACATGCTCTTGCACACGCTGCCTCAAGGTTATGGCTGTTTGCCTCCAGTGGTACCAGCTGCATGATGTAAACACATGGCTGTAAGGTACCATTATCCAACAAAGGAAGATGAGGAACTCCCAAATCCCATCCACATACATTGTGCAGCCTGAGAGCATTTGCATGATCTACCTGTGGTCTTTGTGTACTGAAGCCAAATGTATATAAATGTACAGCAGGAAGAGTCAAGGTTTACTGCTTTCACTCACTTGCCTTGCCTTCTACAAGATGGCAGCAAAACAGATTTACAGTTTTCTTGCATAGGTGAATTTTAAAACTTATGCTTTAATTATAATAAGAAGTTCTGGGAAGAACTAATCGTCTACTTTCCTTTGATATGAAACAGAATGCATAGAAAACAATGCCTCCAACAATTTTCCATAGTCTTTACTGAGTTGTTACTTAGTAACATCAGGGTGATACACAAACAGACCCATAGACGCCTGCATTCAACAATTCTTCTATTGTTGCATATATTCTAGGCCATGGAAATGCATTTACCAACCTATTACCTAGCAGCAAAAGGAGGGTTACACTTTACTGAGCCTTTGCCTATCTACAATAATAGGGATAAACATACAGACAAACAGACTCATGGGAGGGATCTTTTAAGTATGCCGCTGAGTTGGGCTCAAGTGCCATGATATACAGCCCAAGTTTCATAAACACTGGTTCAGGCAGTGAAAGTCTCAAAGGGTTAGAAGCTAAAATGGAAATCTTGTAGAATGGCTCTCCTACCAGAGTAGCCTGGGTTTGGGATTTTTGGTGAACAAAGTGGCCCTGAGGTGGGCTTTTTCCATATATTTCAGTTTCCCCTATCAGTTCTCATTCCAACAAATGCTCCACATTCATTAATTATTCTGCCATCTATTTTTACATAGTTTCAGTACTGACAGCACTGTTTAATACCCAACTGAAAAAAAAGAAGAAGCAAGAATTCTGAAGAAATATAATTTATATTACAAGCGAACCTACTGAAAATAGAGAACATGTTTTGGAGGCTTCAGTTTGTATGGAAGAAATAATGTTACAGCAGTAAAATGTACACATACAAGTATGTTAAGTGTTTCAGTTTCTTCATGTAAGACTAAACCCATCTCCTTGTGTTGACATTAAGACTAGAGGCTGGCTTGTTTAAATTTGTGACCGTGTGTCAGCCATGTATTTGACTTCTGGCCTCTTTAGTGGGGTGGCCTTCACTATGCTGCTGAACATTGACATATGTATATGCAACAGTGTCTCCAACACGGAGTATTATGGAAGAGAGATAGCTGAACACAATGCAAACTAACAATGAATAAAATGCACTTTAAAATTTTAGAGTCTATTTAACATATAGTGCAAAAACAAACAGAGGAAAATCCAAGCGGTGGATATGAAATTTGTATAGTTCTCGAAGGTAAACATCATACGATAGAACTAAAATTTTGTGAATAACTCAGAATCTATGAAGAGAGCTTGAAAAGAAATGATTACAGTGGTTTTGAATTCACAGAACAAGAAAACTGAGAAGGAAATTTGAAATGGAATTTAAAAGGAGAACTGTGGGAGAGAATTCGGAACAAGAAGCCTGAGCCTGATACTGGCAAGAAACTGAAAGGGAAGGCCAAACAGATTGTGATGAGAGTAGGACTGAGTAAGACAAAGGGAGAGGAGAGGAGAGGGGAGGAGGAGGAGGAGGTTGATGAGAGTGGGATGAGGGAGGGGAGAGCATGAGATTGGATAGGTTCATGATGTTCATTTACCCACATAAAGCAAAGTGATGCTAGAGGGACATGCAGACACACACACACACTTACCCTTATCAAATTCCACCACCTTTGCAGAATTCCATCCTTTCTTTAGTTCCTGCCTCCTGATGTACTGGACACGATACCCAAGGATTCCCAGTTCCTCATTCTCAGGACCTTCAATGTCAATCTTGACGGAGTCATGTCTTGCTTCTCGGATGGACGTCTCTGGTACTGCAGGCTTTGAGGATTTAAGAAGTGTAATCACCCGTTCCACCTTACCTAGCCTGTTTGATGCTTTGCATACATAGTCTCCGAAGTCATTCTCACTGTTGACTTGCAGCTGGAAGGCAGTAAAAGTAGCTATGTGACAGTATGCCTAAGGTACATTTCATTCTGTTGTTAATGAAGAGTAATAAAAAGAGACTGTGAGAACCAGCCAATGAAGTTGGAGAATAGCTATACTGTTATGAGAGAGAGCCAGTAAATAGGTCACATATGGATGTAAAACAGCTGTAATGGACGTGATATGTTTTCTATGTGTATCACTAGGTAGCAGCACAGTTCAGCTTCATGACAGTCTAGGTAACAGATGCGTATATGCATATTCAGAGACGGTTTCAGTAGTCAAAATGGCTACCGTGCTTGAGGCATATACTATCGAAGAGCATCGTTCTGTTGTTTATATTTTGTGGGCAAATGGACCCAATGCAAAGGATATTCATGAATAAATGTTTCCTGTTTATGGTGGGAAGTGTTCATCATGTAAAGTGGTTCACAACTGGGTCGAGAAATTCTCTCAGGGACGTTTGAAAGTTGCAGATGATGAAACGGAGGCATGGAAGTGGTTGAGACAACAGTCAAAAGACTTCTACGCTGTGAGTTTCAATGAATTGGTAATGTGATCAGACAAGTTTATCAGTGTTGGTGTAGGCTATGTCAAGAAAAGAATGAATTTTTTTTCAGGTTTAAATATCACACATTTTACATTTTATATCCATTTGTAACCAATTTACTGACTTTCCTTCATATCACTACATCACAATTATTGTAAATGCAATTATATGAAAACCGTATTTAAAATTTCACATAAGTTTATGTGACAAGACTGTTGCAGTGTTAGGAATCCACTGTGGCTTTTCAGATCTCATACCCACACCAAGGAAAGTCAGCACAGCGGTAAACCAGAAGTTGAGTCCTTCCTGGTTCATGCAGCTGTGATGGGATGTTACCTGCAATATTGTATGAAATTCTTCCTCAAAGATGGTGACGTTTTGCTGTGATGTGAGTGTTTCATTTGCCTTCAGCCACTCAAATTTAGGTGCTGGTTCTGCAGTCACTTCACATGTTAAGTTAACATTGCCTGTAATAAATGCGTAAGCTTTTGCAGGTTCTTCCTTTTCACGCCAGACCGGTTTGTCTGTCAACATAAAATGTGTCAAGCATCAGAGGAAATGTAATGTTACAACTCAGTTAGACACATACATCATTCATATTCATATTTTGTATGTAAAAATCACTTTCTGCACATCAGTAATGAATGTTATCTTAAGCAATGTTGTGGAAACAACAAAGATGCAATAAAATACCTGCTATAAACTGACAGAAACGTTGGCACAAAGATGTCCATTGGTATAACATTATGTTTACATAACATCATATAAACAGCAGTGCTTTGTTATGGTACTGAAATTTGGATTTTAAACCGAAAGAACTCTTGATATTAAATAAGCACAAATGTGTTTTTGAGACAGCTCCTCCTGAGGACAGGTACTTCTGAAGAAGACTTTGTTCGAAACTTCAACAGGCTTTATATTAATAATAATATAACACTGGAGCTATATGTTTCAATGTCATATAACTTTCAGACTTCTTGAAGTCTGCTGTCTTCTGGGATGTGATGCATCACACTGATACGTTGGAGGGAGTCTGATGAACTTCTACTGTATTGCATGGCTTTGAAGCCTAGACAATATTCCCTTTTGTAGATACATCTATGAGAACCTGAAATTCAGACTACTTTCGTAACAATGCAATTATTTAAACTACTGTACCAGCATACAGAGTGATCAAAAAAATAACTCCCTCTTTTAAAGATGCAGTAACTGATGAATTACAAAGTTTCTTTCTTTCAATACCTGGAGGAAATCTCAAAGTTTTCTGATATCATTAAAAAGTCTCAGTATAACCACTGTTTGCAGCCCTGCAGACAGTATTCACTTTCATACTATTCACAAAGAAGTATATCGGGAAAGATTGTCACAGCAGCGGCATAAATTTACTCTCAGGTGACATAAATCACAGACATTGTCTGCATTCACAATATCAATTAAGCCTATAAGCTTAAGTCCAAAATTTGGACTTCTTGAGGCCAAGTTATTGGTTCAGTTACTCTAGAACTTTGCAGATTGAACTTTATGAGTGAAATGTGATAAGGACAAAATCTGTAGGAAAACAACCGCAGTTCTCTTTCTAATATCTAATAAGATGAGACAAATGCTTTCCTCAGTGTTTTTTGCTGCTGAAAAAGAACATCCTACCACATGGTCATCCAAAACTTACATCATACGTTTGGGGCCACAGCATAGCTCAAGCAGTTAGTTGCTCGCTTCCCACCGCGGTGGCCTGAGTTCGATCCTGGGTCTGGTCAAGTGGGATTTGTGGTGGACAAAGTGACGCTGGGGCAGGTTTTCTCCGAGTACTTTGGTTCCCCTGCCAATCTTCATTCCACCAATTGCTCCACAATCACCCTCACCTATCATCTGGGGCTGGTACAATAGGCCAGAAGTGGCTGCAGTACAAGAGACTTAGTCCCACCCCACTAGCAATAAAAGAATACATCATACGTTCACATTTAGTGTGTCATGCACATCATCATCATTATCATCATCAGTAATCTGTCAGACGACAGGTCCACAGTCTCTTCCAAAACAATTCCTCCACTTAATGCGATCTAGAGCTTTCTCCTTCAAATGACAGTATCCTCTTCTGTCCCCAAGGTCATCCACCATCTTCTTACGTCTTCTTGTCACTTCTATCCACCCCTCTATCTTTCCTTCAATAACTTCTTTTAGAAGGCAGTTTCTGCGTAAAACATGACCAATCCAATTAGCCTTCCATTTTCTTATTTCGTGTAGGATATTCCTCTGCTCACTGACTCTAATTAACACTTCTTCATTTCTCACATAATCGGTCCAACTGATCTTCTCCATCCTTCTCCAACACCACATTTCGAAACTTTCCAGATGTTTCTGATCTACTGCCCTAAGTGTCCA